TGAATTATGAATGCAAGTAAAATGATTTATTTTTATTTGCGCAGCTTATTATCTCTCAAATGGGAAGTGGAGCATCGATATTTATCGATAAATTGAAGCTAAAAGCTAAACAAGCAAACAAATGAAAACAAGTCGACCCGTTTAGGAACATAAAACATCTCGTTTGGTGTCTTCTGCCCGTCACAAACGTGTGCACAACTTTAAAATGCCTCTGCCGCCCGCTTTCTAATGAAAGCCAACAAGCATTGATAATGCTGGATGCGAATCTATCTATAATATGGTACATGATATGCGGGTTCCAATGCGTAACGAGTTCCAAAGAGGGACCCCTCCTCCCACAAGTGACACCAGCTCTGCGAGCTGCCCGCACGGGCAACAAAATGCGTCATCACCTTGGGGCAGGCAACTAGACAAGCAGCTGATGACACAGGAGGTGGAGTGAGCGAGACAGGCAGCGAGTGTGAGAATGAGAGAGAGAGAGAGAGAGAGGCTCTTCATCAACACTAGAGGACAAACCATTGAGGTGCTGTGCGGGCTGTGGGGCAAACAGGTTATGCATGCCCCGAAGAGGTGGCTGTGGGGTAACACGCGTCAGCGTCAGCGTCAGCGTCGTCGTTGTTGTTGCTGCTGCTGTTGTCATTGTTGTCAAGAGCAATTGTGTAGCTATTTGAAGGTTAAATTGATCATCATCAACAGCAACAGCAGCGACGACGCCAGCAGAATTGCAATGTGTGAATTGTGGGCAGGAGCAGAGTCAGGAGGGGGGGGGGGGGGGGGGGCAGGAAGGCCATATGACACGAGCTGATTAAACACAATTTGAATTAAGAGACTAGACAAAGTGAGTGCAAACAATAATGTCGCGCCGATAAAGTGCGGCCCTGCTAAGGGTTAGGGCAAGGGTTGGGCTGGGATTCAGGCATTGGGAAGGGTGGTTGCGGTTCCGGTCTCAATTCCAAATATGATGAAATGTTGCCTCAGGCAATAACCGGGCATAAATAGAGGCATTTAAAAGTAAAGAGCTGACGTTTCCCTTTTAATTAAAGCTGAAAACTCAGTACATAACCATGGGAAATAGAAGAGATAATCTTGGCTCTGCTTGGATCAGAGTTAAGTGTTCCTTTGATCAAAGTGTAAGTTAAATAGCAGATGTTTCTCTTTCAGTTAATCTTGACTTTATTTGGATCAGACTTAAGTGTTCCTTTGATCAAAGCGTAAAGGAATAAGCAGATGTTTTCCTTTCAATAACAGGTGAAAACTCAGCATATACCTAGTACACAACTATGGGCTGTAGCTGAGTTAATCTTGGCTCTGCTTGGATCGGAGTACAATTGTTTTCCTTATATCAGGCTTGGGCCCTCTCGTGTTCAGGTATTCCTAGACTGTAACTAGATATGGCCGAGCGAGCTGCTATCATCTTTAGGCGCAGCAAAGCAGACGACGCTGCGAAATGAAAACTTCTTGAAATGGGAAACTTCACTTGAAGGGAAACGTCACACTTAAATGCGTATTTTGTCAAGTTTTTGTATTATTCGTTGAGTAAGAATTTTATTGAGTAAGAAATTTGCCCCCCTTTTTAGCTCCATGTGGGCATTTAGAGGGCATAAGGAGCACTAGATATATACTACAAGGATTAATCCTCAGCTCAAATTGTATGTGAGCTCGCGCCTTCCAAAGGCAGCCACTCGTAGCTGGGCATATGATAAATGTGAAGCAGCACTAATTGAATAGGAAAACATCTTGCTTCTTACTCTTTGCTCTGCCAACCTCCCTCTCTCCGGCAGCACTAAGCAAGCCAGCTTGGCTTGAACTTAAGCGATAGGGCGTACACTTCACAATATATAACAATCGCATCTTTCCTTTTATCTCATCGTGCTGTAATAGATACTTATGCAATTTCAGCGATTTATTGTGGGTCTTTCGGGGCCAGCAGCCCATCAGCTGGTCGCGTTCCACATTCAATGGGCAGACAGGCTGACAGTCGGAGCCAGTCGATAAGCAGATTAGCTTAGTGGGCTCATTTGCCAGCCAAACGCAACCGCAAACAGAATTGGCTTAAGTGCTGGCTCATTGTCAGCCCCCATTATGGCCATGGGTAATCCCCTGTGACGTACTTACCGCGGCCCGAACGACTGCGCAGTCGATAGCCGGCGAAATGGCGAGATGGCGTAACCCACCTGCCCAACAATCTGGAGCAGCAGCAACAAAACCAAACCCGGCGTCGCTCCTGCCCTCGTTTGTGACTGAGAGTGGGACTGTGCCTGCTCCGGCAGTTTTTGCTGACGCGCGTAAAAAACTACGCCCAATGCAGCAGCAGCAGCAGCAGCAGCGACAGCGACAGCTGACCTACATCCGCATCCAAGAAAAAAGCCAAAGCCGAACCAGGCAGAAACAGAAAAAAAAAACACACAGAAAATTCAACGAGCGTCAAGCTGGGGTGAACTGACCTGAATTTAACAATGCCGCTGGAAGCCACCTCCTCATCCAAGAGCCGGCGGCGGCGGGCAGCGACTAAAAGCTATTGCAATGGCCAGCTAATTTCTATCAAATCTCGCAGCTGGCACTTTTTTTTCGCTCTCATTTCGCTTTGCTTCGGAAAGCCGACAAAAAAAAAGTAGAATCGCATTTGGCATTTGGTAATTTGCATAAGGCTGGCTGAGCGGACCAGGCCAGACCAGACCAGACCTAAACAGACCAGACCAGACCAGACCAAAGCAGACCAAAGCGGAGGGGAGCAGCTGACCTATGCCACATCCCAAAGGACATAAAGGACAGCACGTGCAGCGCCTTTGGGCGTCGTCCGAGCCAGCTCCGAGTTCGAGCTCGGTTTCTGTATATGGCTCTTGGCTCTTGGCCGGGTAATTGATGTTGACGTCGTGGCCCGGCTCGGCCTTGTGCGTAATGGCGCTGACGTCGGCGTCGCACCGAGCACAAAGGCAACGTTTTGGTTTTGTTTTTTTCACATTATTTGTGTGCATACCCTGTTTTTATGGGGCATAAGGAGTTGATGGGCTTGTGTCATCTCTGTCGCAAACACTTTTTAAAACTTGCAAAACTTGGTTTGACTACGTTTTGGGCATTATTCCAAAATCTATACAGTTTTAGAGCCAGAGTTTTAGAGTCACAGTTTTAGAGCCATTCAATTTGGTCACAAGTTTAAAACAAAAATATTTGTCTTCTGCCCACATTTGCAGCTGCATTTCGTGAATATCTTTTTGCCACAGTTTGAGAGTCACCGCTTAGAATTGACAGTTTAAGAGTCATCGAATTGATTTGTATAAAAGCTCTTGCATAACTACGTTTGTCAAAGTCTTTAATATCGCAAATTGCTAAATTGTATAACTACTACAGTTTTGGAGTCACAGTTTTGTAGTCGATAAATTTGTTGATTGTCTTAAATGTTGAACTCAACAATATTTGATTAGGCCCATTTTAGCTACCACTAATCAGAGAAGTTTGTATATTTGCCCCAGTTTGAAAGTCAACATTTACAGTTTTAGAGTCTTTAATTGCGATTAGGTCTACAGCTGCTGAGTCACAGTTTTGGAGTCACATTCTCTTTTTAATGATGATTATTATTGATTGCCTTGAAGAAATAAGCCAAGTACATATAATTTAGCCACGCCCAATCTTGCATATTGCACAACCTTAGATGTGCTTCAGTTTAAGAGTCACACAGATTTAAAGTCCCCGAACTTATAGACAATTGATTAACTTATTGAGATTAAAGTTGGACAATCGAACTGCTGGAATGATTTAACCTGAATTATATGAAAGTTCCGTCCAATCGGACTGGGAACAGGGTATCGTTTAGTCGCATACGCTCGCCTGTAACGGACTGGGTTGTGTTATGTTTTGCCGCTGTTATCATGCGGACCACTGGCTAAAGATGCCGAGAGATAACCCGCGGCTCAAAGAGCTGCGCGGGCCAGGCGGGGGCGGGGGCGGGGGCAAGGGCGCAAAAACCCAAAGGCAGATCGTCAGCCAAACAAAGGCAGCTGCTGTGCGTTCCCGCTGCGTATCGAGGTGAGTGGCTGTTGCCGGGGGCTGTAGGGTTCGGGATTTCGGGCTCGGCAGCCATGCCCATGGATACATGGCGGGGGCGGGGGCGGCGGCCGTAGACAACGGCAATCAAAAGAAACCAAACAAAAAGAATGAAAGAATAAAAAAGAAAATGGGAAGCCGGAAGTGTGTGTAGTAGCTGTGTGTCCACGCCCCCCGCCCACCAACCACGGCAAAGCACGGCAAGACAAGGCACGGCAAGGCAAGGCGAGGGCGGAGGTAGACAAGAATCCGGGCACATGCAGCGCACATGGCAAGCAGCCGCAGCCGCAGCCGCAGCCGCAGCCGCAGCCGCAGCAGCAGAAGCGCGCGCTGTGCGAGCGGAACGTGATGGGAATGAAACAAAAAGGGCTCGACAGACGCTCGCAGACAACAAAAGGCGTAAACAAAATGAGAAATATCGAAATTAATCAAAGCCGCGTTGTTGTTGAGAGTTTTTGTGCAATTGCAGCAGACAGAGATAGAGATAGAGAGATAGAGAGAGAGAGAGAGAGAGAGAGAGAGAGAGAAGGAGAGGGAGGGGGTACGGGATAGAGCGGCAGAAAGAGAGCGCGCCGCTTACAGGTAAGTGAGAGCGTTTGTATAAAAAAGTAAAAACTATATAAAATAAAAAAGACAGCTAGAAATTTATGACAAGCAATACAATAAAGTGTATACAACCAGAGTAGATGTAAAACTAAACAAATCAAAATGCAATCAATTGTAAATGGGACGCACTTCAAGTGCATAATTGCGGGGTCTCAAGTGGGGCAAACACGCCAGCGAGAAGGAGGAGGAGGAGGAGAAGGAGAGGCACCTCTTGAGGCGGCACTTGGAGCCACTCCAAATGCTACAGAAAATGAAATGGAAACCGTGGCGCTACTTTGACACGCTGCGTGTATGGAAGAGTGTTTCGAGGGGGGTGCAGTATTTACTCCCAGATCCTTGTGCGCTGTACTCACCTCTAGGTAAACATCGCTATCCGGATTGAAGGTGTCATTAACCCGACGAAATGTGTAATTCACATGCGGTATTGAATGCAGGATTTTAACGAGTATGCTCGGCTGTTCCATTTTTACGGCTCCTTTTGCAACGTTGTCGCTGTTCTTGTTGTAGTTGAAGTTGTAGTTGAAGTTGTAGTTGTTGCTCACACAAAGCTAACACTCTTTCTCTCTCTCTCCCTCGCTCTCTCTATCTGTCTCTCCCGCTCTTTCACACGTATTATGGCTAGTTGTCGTATTCGTTGTGCTGCTGCTGCTTCTTCTTCTTCTACTTGGTTTTTTGGTATGTGCTCCTTTATATTGTTTTCGTATGCGAGTGTTTGTGTTTGTGGTGTGTGGTGTGTGTTGCGGGGAGGCGACGGGCGGGAGTAGATATGGCAACGCTCCTGCTGCTGCTGCTGCTGCTTTTGACGTCACAACGTCGCTGCTGCGACGACGACGACGGCGTCTCGTTTCAACGCAAAATTGACTTGAGAGTTTAGCGCATTACACTCACTGCTGCAAGAGGGATAGAAGTAGTTGAAGGGGGGGTGGGCTACATTCGTATGCTTCCTTTGCTTTACGCGCGCACACATACACACATAGGCACAGGCACGCACGCACGCCTGACAAATGTGTGCGCAGAGCAGCACAAGGGAACTTGCAAGTGAGCGAGTGAGAGAGAGCGCGCGCGCCGGGCTGCTGCGGGGGTGTTAATGCGTGCGCTTCACACGCTGTGCCAAATTTCGAATTGTAGCGCCGACCCCAAAACGCATGCTCTCCTGCCTAGAGACAAGCGCTCTCTCTTACACGCTCGCTCTCTTTGTTCTCTATTTCGTTTGTTTCCATGTCCTGTGGCAGCGTGCGTGCCCATGCCTGTGTGTGTGTGTGTGTGTGTGTGTGTGTGCGTGTGCGTGTGCGTTGCCTGCGCTAAATTTTCACTTTCACTTTTCACACACCCAAAAAAATAACAAAAAGGAATCACCAAAAAAAAACCATAAATTCTACACACAACTGTAGTAATATAACGGCATTAATGCAGCCTTCCTAACGGCACTTTGCAAAATTGCGAAGCACACAACAATTTTTGTTTTGATTTCATCTGCCGCATTCGCCGCTCGCTATCTCGCTCGCGCTCAGTGCAGAAACATAACCAGCAAAAAAAAAGGACCAAATTTTCAGGCAAAAAAAAAAATAGCACACAATTTGATAAAAAAAAAAGGCGCTGCTTATCGGCAACTGCCGGAGATTTGTTTCGATTTATTATTGTTGTCAAAAATAAATGCACAATTATGTAAATTGTCGTTAATGTTGTTGTTGTTATTGCACAGCACGCGTTGTAAATTTATTAAATTTTGTGTATTTTCTGTTTTTTTTTTTACATTAATTCTTTCGTTTCCTTTTTGCTTTGGTTTTACCGACGCACGTTTATCGGCCACGGGGCGTTGTTTCATTTACCGTTTCGTTCCGTTTCGCAAGTAGCGTTGTTGCCGCGACTGCGGTCCAAATGCGAATGAATTGAAAAACCTGCGCAACGTTTTCGGCTGCCAAAGGCAAGAAAATGAACTCGCCAGCGCCGCCGCGCTGCACACACCGAAACGCGTATGCCCTACAAGGCGTTAAAATGCATCGAATGCAAGCAATAAACGATTCTTCTTCTTATTAGCTTATTAGCTGATGGATAGCAGAAATAAGTTAAATATTTAATATGTATATATAAGATGGGTTGGGCCAGCAAATGCGCTAACTTGTTAAAGGCTGATGCGTTTTCTAGCTAAATTTGACGGTTTTCAGAAGTCATCGGCCGGAAAGAGCGCAATTTTAAACAGATTTAGCTAGTTTTTGGACACTTATGGCTAGAAAGCGAATATAGCTTATATTAGCTTGGATTAAGCGCTGGCTGGCACCGCAGGGTCTAACTATCGGCTAGCAAAGGGTATTGTGGCGCTCAGTTACAGAGGTCGAGTTGTTTTGTGGAGGGGGGGTGGGGTACAGCTGGAATTAAAATAGTGGCACAGTGCTATAGTTTAGGAACGTAAACAAGTCGGCGCATGATTCATATCGATAACGATAGCTGGCTGGATAGCAGATATTTAAATGCAACTGCAACAGCAAAAGAGATGGGGCAACACTTTTGAGCGCTTTTCAGCTGAGTTTTCATTTTGGTTTTCTTTCGTCTTTTTTGTATAGTAAAAATGTATAAAATGTGTGCCACTTTTATCATAGTCAGCGATAAAAACAAGTTTTTTTATAGCAAAATAACAACAACTAACGAGAATAACCGCTTTAAACGCTGCGACTGCAGCTCCGGTGACAACTATTCTGGCCGGGCAGAGGCAACACACGCACACACACACCCACAGAGGAACAAACGGTGTGTGTGTGTGTGTGTGTGTGCATGCATGTAATCTGAGCAACCTTTTATAAGAATTCTTAAGCTGGCGTCAGCGTTTTATCGCCGTCAAGTAAATTGAGGCGAAAATATTATTAGTAATAAATATTTGTTCAATGGCGGCGACCAGTATTCTAAAAGTTGTTGTTGCTTTAGCAGAGCGTGTCCGCCGGGTCGGCATATCTTGTTCATGAATCAAAGCAATGCGAAGGCGCGCACGCACACATCGAGGGAAGCGTAGTAGATATAATAAGCAAACAGGGGAGCCACCAGTTCAGTTCCCGAGCATCTTATCAGCCCGGGCACATGTGAAAAGTAAATATAGAGGGAAACGTGAATCTCAATTTTTGAATTTTCGATTAAAAGGCGTTTTTTAACCGTTTATTCGAAACTGGACTTGAACTTGGCTGCGGCTGCTCTTGCTGGGGGTCTACGCTGCAAAGCCTTTCGAATCGCACGGAACTGTAGCTGTTTATAACGAACAAAATGCATTTTTCAAACATAAACCAACACACACAAACAGGCACTCAGCACACGCACACACATATGTATGTATATATACAGCGCGACACGGGCACACGAATAAACACGTTGAAATAAACACTGGAATATCCACCGATTAACATACTTTGTGCACATGCAGCGCTTTTTAGTTTATGAAATTGTAATTTAAAGCTCAATTATGCTTCACATGTTCAATTTTGTTGAAACGCACGTACTGCTATCTATCCGCTTTATGGAGTGCAGAGCGACAAACAACACACACATAAACGACAGTGTGACCGTGCGCAACTAAGAGAAAATACTCAAAGTAGTTGTTAAGCCGCTAAGAAATCGGCAATTTTAAATTAACGAAGTTCAAATACTCTTACAAATGCCTGCAAGCTAGGCCATATTATATACAAATTTGCTTTTTTCAGAATTGCTCCACTAGCATATAATTAATCTTTCAAATTACTTTCTAACAGAATGAAGAGCTTGCTGCACGTTTCAGCAAACACCAGGAAACATACATTAATTAAGATAAATATTAACAGCTCTATTTCAGTATTGCAGACAAAGGAAATTAATATTATTTACCTTATGCTCGTTATGCGAAGAATATATTGTATTTCTAGTTACATGTGTATTGTTACTAAATGCATATATTTATTCATTTACCTATTTATCATATGTGTGCGAGAAATACCAAAATTTTAGAAATACTGAATTTATGAAAAGTATATCGATGTACGAATGCATGTTTAAATATCGATACTGCCCGCCCACAATCAAATATTTGAATTGTAGTGGCTTAGCATTGGGATTTTATATCTTAATATATTTTTGTTTGCTTTATTCGCGTAAATCTAAACAAAATTTGATGAATTATTTGATTCAACCATGTAATGTTTATCTCAAGCTGCTCAGTCAAAACTAAGCAATAATCAAGCTAAGTTGTCCGCGGCTAATACTTGTAGTATTCTACGATAAAGAAACTTGTATTTTGTTTAAGAAGGCCAATCCGAAGACTATTCTGTTAATTTAGCTAACATATATTTTAAAATCAGCCACGACTGAACAGGTATCGGTCATACTGAAATGATCGAATCGACGTGTCGACTTGCCCTATCGATATATATTGCACATATCGATAAGCCGACTGCTGCAAAGTATCTTGAAATAGTCGATGTATCTTGTGCATCCCTAGTTTAGTTGTTTTGAAGTTCTTTTATCCAATGGATCAAAAAGCCCTCGCCATGCCGGACCCGGTAGTCGCACACTTTTTTGAAGGCGTTGAGAAGCTATTGGAGATATGGTTTGAGGAGAGCTCAAGTCCCACAGGCGACTTACGCAACATAACGCGGCCTGAATGGGAGAATCTGCTGCGCCACGTGAAATGCGAAATAATCAGCTTCACCAAAAATGATTTTATAGATGCATTCCTTTTAAGCGAGAGCAGCATGTTCGTCTCGAAGCGCAGATGGATACTGAAGACGTGTGGAACAACGACACCGTTGAAATGCTTGGAGCAGCTGCTCAAATTAGCCAAAGTTCACGGTTTCACTGTGATCAGCGATATATTCTATTCGAGAAAGAACTTTACCCGACCCGAGGTACAGAATAGTCCACACAAAGGCTTTTACGAGGAGGTCTCCTATTTGGATACCATATTTCCCGAAGGCCGATCGTATTGCTTGGGCTCCATTAATCTGGAATGTTGGTATCTTTATACGTTCAGCAGGCCGGAGCTGAAAGCCCTGCCCGATATTATTGTCGAGGAGAACAATATAGACGCTGATCCCGATCAAACCATCGAGATACTTATGCAAAATCTGGATAAGAACGTGATGTCAGCCTTCAGCAAAACCGAATTCTCCACTGGACCCGAGGCGACGGCACACTCTGGCATAGATCAAATACTGCCCGACATGGTTATCGACGACTTCCTGTTCGATCCGTGCGGCTACTCGATGAACGGCATCAATGAGCATGGCGAATACATGACCATACACATCACGCCCGAGGAGAAGTTCTCCTATGTGAGCTTTGAGAGCAATGTGGCGCTAAATAACTATACGAAATTGATTAATCAGGTTATCAAGACCTTTAAGCCGGGCAAATTTATTGTCACCATCTTTGCTAACAAATCCTCGCTGGCCTACGAGACAATGAAGGAGCTGGAGATTGAATACTCAACGCTATCCAACTGGAAACGCACCGATATGCAGTGCTGCAATTTCCCATCCTACAATCTACTCTTTGCCCAATATTCTCGTGCTGTTGAGATATCGACGTGAAATAATTTCGCCAATTCCCAAAAATTTATTGTTAATAAAAAAAAATTTTTGTTACATTCTAAATTAACTTGGATAATACTTGGAATTTCTTTCTAGATTCTCTAGAGTTTGATAGCCTGAGCTGCCTGGCTTCCCGTCCCAACACGCCCACATAAAGATTCTCGGCATACCCCTCCCAATCCCGTTGAGATTGTCCAGCAGCTCTTCGCCTTGCCGGACTCTGCGAATATACTTCTAATCCCCAATCAGATTCTCCGCAAACTCTCTCAAACTACCCTTCGCAATCTCAATTCAATTCTACATTTAAACAAAGATTCTCCAGCAAATTTAAACACTAGCTCTTAGCTTAATTTACGACTCCCTTTGGGGATTCTTTAGCTTCTGACCTTAAAAAATCGCGCTGTGCGCGCTTGAACAGCTCCGAAGCCGTCGCTGGCCACAGTTATGTGCTGGGCAATCCAGGCTGGCAGCTTCTGCTGGATGCGTGCACTGGCATAGCGTTCGTCCAGCAGATAGACGCAGGCGTAGTCGCGTATGTGACGCACTGAGCGTCCGATGCACTGGTTGACCGCCTTCATGCAGAGATTCTCATAGTACTCGTTGCCGGCGCCGCTGCCCAGCGTCTCATCCAAATGACGCATTCGCTCCTTGAGCTCGGGCGCAGTGCGATTCGGATATGGCATTCCCACCACGATCACGCCACGGCCCAGATCGTCGGCAAAGTTGAGACCCTCGGATAGCTTGCCGCCCACCACGCTCAGCAGCAGGGCGCCTCCTGCGGTCTGTCCAATGGCATCAGCATATTGCTGCAGCAGCTGCTCCACGCCGCCCCCGCTCCCGCTGCCGGCTGTTTCCCTAAAGATGCGCTTACGCTGCCCTATCCGCTGCAAGGCACCGCTCTGCTCCAGATGGGCATAGACCGTGTCCAGGTAATCGTAGGAGGGCAAAAAGCAGACCACGCCCGCGGGCAGCACGCCACAAAGATTCTGCAGCACCATGCTGAGCTCCTTCAGCTGAAAGGAAGAAACAAGGATTAGGTTTTATGGCTCTTACTCTTAGAGTCCCTGAGTTACATAAGAGCATATGTAGTATGGAGCCGTGGATTTTACAAAAATAAAGCTAATGCTAGCATTTAAAAACTTCAAGTAAAAGTTATACTCGTTTATCTGGTATGAGAGCAGTTACATATTAAATTTGAAAGTTCTAGCTGGCCCAGCCCCTGAGATCCATGGCTACATACCGATATATACAAATTGTAGGACAGTTCTTAAGGACTCTAATATTCTGATTGACTGAAAGAGATTTGTAATTCTGTAATTCTATCTGTAGAACAGATCTAAGCCTGCTTTTTCTTTCGCATCAGTATGATGCGGTTTAGACTGCTTGAGATGCTTGCATATAAAGTTATTTGGCATCTGAGCGAGGGCCGACTCTGTCTAGCGCAGGCTCTGAGATCCTTGGGCATATAAAAATATAAAATTTGTTAGAGAGGTCAATGAGAGAGTTCTTTACAACTCTATCCAACATTTTGATTAAATAGAATCGGATTGTAATTGATAAAAGACATGCTAGTTTTAAATGTGTAGAAAAGATCCAAGTTTTTTCTCTTTTTACGATTACATTAAACGTGAAAGTAATACCCATTGATTTATCTAGCTCTACCTGGTATACTCTCCGAGATCCAAAGGAACTTATAGCTAGAGTAGAACATCTCTGGCACTCACCATGGCAGGGCTGGCGCGTTGCGCATAGTTGAAGCAGAGCTTGGCGCCCGTTGGCCCTGTGGTCAGCACAAATGGCAGAACCGCATCGGCTGGCACAACATGGCTATAGAAACGCTCGACCACACGCTCGGGACAGTGGGCAAACAGCTGGGCGGTCAGCTCGTGCGTCGGCTGCATCGTGCCGCCGGCTATGATGAGCTGCAGATGACGTGGAATGTGAAAGAAAGCTTGAACGGAAACTTATGGCACCTACTCACAGCGCGCGCTTCTGCAACGATGTCTGCAAAATGCTCGGCGGGATTGAGCAGCAAATACTTGAGAGTGGACGTCTTGGGATTGAGCAGCACGCGACCATCGGCTGCATTGCTGGTGAGCGTCTCCAGAAATGCCAGGAATGGACGCAAAGGCGAGGGCACAGCTGAACTAGACGTCACAGTTGGCTTCGGCTGTGTCTGCGGCGTTGCGGGCTCCTTAGCAGCTGGCTGCTTGCGTTTGCCGCCCGCCTGGCACTGCTGATGCTGTGCGGCCAGTCGCTGGAGCAGCTGTTGCGTGGGCGGCGGACGATTCTCGCTGGGCTGCGGCTCACGCTGCAGCTGCAGCCCAAAGGCGTGCAGCTTCTGGGCCAAGCGTGTGCGCGAGCAGAACTGCAGCAAGGCGTGCAGATCAATGTTGTAGAAGTCGCCCTCGGCGCTCAGCTGATAGGTGCGCAGCAGGCGCGGCTCTCCACTCGACTCGCACAGCTGAAGCAGGCGGCGCACCACGAACAGCAGCTGATTGAGGCGCAACAAATTGGCGCTGCTCAGCCGACGCGCATAGCGCTCCTTGTAGGCGGCCAGCTGCTGGCGGGCCAATTGCAGCTGGGCAAGGCTCAGCTCGCTGCTGTGCAGCTGGGCAATGGTGTCCAGCAGATTGTGCGCCTCGTCCACAATGATGATGGCGCCGCGCAGATCAATGCCCAGCTGCTGGCGCGCACTGCGCTGCAGCAGCAGCGAATACGGCAGCAACACCAGCTGCGCCTGCGTCTGGGCGACGCGTGTGGCATAGTAGGGGCAGGCGCCACAGGCGGCGCCCACCGCTGCCAGCTCCTCAATGTCGAGCGGCTCAGAGAGCGCCGCATCGCTGAGCTTTTGCAGCTGAGCGGGCGCCTTGTGGGCGCAACGACTAAGCGACTGCGATTGCGACTGCGACGGCTTCTTGCTGGCATTAACATGGGAGCTGGGCTTGGCCTGCGCCATGTCCAGGCAGCGTTCGTTGATGAGCGCCAGGTTGGGCAGGCGGCGCACCTGCGCATTGACGCACAGCTGCTGGCGGGAGCCGAGCGCAATGCAGCGTACGTGCTGGCCGTGCGGCGTCTTGCGCAGCTCGGTCACAATCTGCGCCAGCTGCGAGTGGGTGCGGCTGCAGTAGAAGATTTGCACATCACGAAAACGTTCCTCCGCTGGCTGCTCAGCCAGCGTATGATCTGTGTGCTCTTCCTCCCCCTCGTCCGAATCCAGCTCCGGTTCGGCGGCAGTGTCCTCAGCTGCTGTCGCCGCCGCCTGCAGCAGCAGCTCGCCTGCTCGTCGCGCCGGACGCTGTTGCTGCTTTCGGCGCTGCTTGATCTGGTCCAGCTCCTGCTCCTTCTGCTGCAGCAGCTCGCGCAGCCGCTGCAGCTGTTCCAGCTCCTGGCGTTGCGTTCGCGTGTTGCTTTGCGCCGTTATCCAATCCTCTGCCTGCGCACTGGCCGCCTGCAGCCTGCACAGTTCGGCCTCTACTTCGCCAATCCGCTGCAGCAGCTCGGCGCGCACCAGTTGCTCGTGCTGGCGCAGCCAGGTGAGTGCGCCGCAGGTGAGCGTCAGCGACTTGCCGGTACCCGTGGGACTCTCGAAGATGCCAATCTGCTTGCGTTCCAGCACCAGGAAGAGCTCCTGCATCAGCTGCTCCTGTATGGCGTAGGGCGTGTAGGGGAAGCCAAAGTCCTGCGCTGCAGGCGCTGCAAGGGTCTTGCGCGGCGAATACATGACCACATACGGACTCCAATTAAATAATTAATAAATGGTTTACATCTAAAAAGTGGCGCCAACCGTTCGTGGACGTCGCTCAGCGATGCGCTAAAAGCAATCGCATTATCGCGCAGTTATGCGTTCGCTTGAAGTTGGCTGCGCGCAATTTTCTGCTCACTTGAAGTTGGCTGCGCGTCAAGCGCTTGTCCTTTAGACTATCTGGCAGCACATTGAACTGCGCAGCAATTTGAAAATTGAAGCAATTGCAAATTGCGTAAATTACGAAAATAGATTGTGAATAAAGCAAATATGCACAAACATCAACCGCAAAACATGAGTAATCGACAATGCTCAGTTATGTAAATACTTGATTTTTTTATGTTCTTTTCGTTTCGTGTTGTGTTTTGCTCTCGGCTTTGGTGCATTGCTTAGTAATGGCCGAAAGAAGCAGCAGTAAAACTTGATTGATTGCCAATTAGTCATGTGCAGTATTAAAGCGTTTCTAGATACTAAATCGTTTTTAAGCCGCGCGTGTTCAATGCGTCAGCCTCACAGCCTCACAGCCACACAGACTCCCAGCCGAGCAGCGGACGCGCCTTCTAGAAAAAGAAAATGGCGTCCGATATGCTGTTGCTGGAACGACCTGCGGCAAAATCGATTTGAATATGCATTTTCGAATTTAATTTGATTTTCAGCTAATAAGTATTTGCCACTCGAATGTGCGCGCTGCCACTGATCTTTAATATTGCAGCGATTCGTTGTGGGCGTTCTGTGGCGCACAGTGGCACAAAATATTTGCGATTGCGATCTGTTAGTCGGCCGTGCGCCAATATTACTCATACGCAGCGCTGGCCAATGCTGACCTTAGCCAACGGCCAAAATGCGCCGTGTCGCACCTTGATTGACTGTCTGATAGAATGCAACAATAATAATAATAATGGCAATGATTGACGGCCAAAGCGCATACAGCGCATTCGTTTTTGTCACTGCAAAAGCTTGCAGCTTGCAGCCTGCAGCTAACCCCCCCCCTTCTACCCGCCTCTGCCGCTTAGCCAACATCTTGGCCGTCGTCACATCCCATTTGTTGCGACAAATGTTGCAATGCCTCAGCTAATGCCGCGTCATGCACCTGAACTTGTTGCCATAACATATCCATATACTAGAGGGTGTGTGTGTGTGTGTGTGTGTGTGTGCATGAGTGTATATTGCATATTATTGCAGCTAGCGTTAAATATATATATAATCTTAAAAGTCAGCACTAAGTGCGTATTCGGGCATTCAAACAGAACTAACCTCACTAACTGACGCCGAGTTGCCACACTTTTCAAATCCGATAATTAACTGCACTTTAGGTGAG